GGAGCGGTCAGGGGCCCGGGGTGGCGGCATTGGCAGCGGAGGCTCCTCGGCACGCGGCAGGTGGCGCGAGGCCCCGGCACCCGGGTGGCAAGCGCGTTGCCTCTGGGGCGGGCGAGGGAGAGCCGCGGCCACAGGAGAACAGCGCGTTTTGCGGAAGGGGTCAAATGTCTGAAATATGGCGGAGGAAGTGAGAGCCCGAGGACCCCCCCCCCCACTGAGACACACACACACACGCACCCGCACCCGCCCGCTTGCTCGCTCGCTCGCTCCATACTGCCGGCTGCAGCCACAGCCTGTCGCGCTGCCCACCGCCCACTGCGGCTCAAGACTCGTCTCCCCTCCCCGGAGCCCCCTCGCAAACCGCCTTGGTTCTCTCCTGGGTGTGGGTGGAAGTTAGAACGGAAACTAGAAAGTTATCCTTTGCGAAGACCAGCTTCCCCCAGCTCCTAACCTGGGCGAGGAGCGTTCAGGGGAAACCACTCCCCGGCGCCCTGCGGGCTCGAGCCTGACAGGGAAAAAGTTTGCCTGAAACGGGGTCGGTGTGCTCCGTTTGTTCCGGGAAGTGGCAGGAGAAGACAGCAAAGGGAGCCCCACCTAGTCTGGCAGTAACCACCATAGAGAGAAAAACTGTTAAAGGGGCCTTTCCCTTCGTCAGCAAGAGGAAATCTCTTTAGAGAGGGAGTGCAAATCGAGGAAGTTTGTCCTCTTTTTCGCCATGTCGATGTGTCTCATCCAAAACTATCAGCGCAATGAATTTTATTTGAAACTATTCTCAATGAGCCGAGTCTTCCAGATTTTTCTTCTGAAAAAACTGGTGGCCTTTAGGGAAAAGATCATTCTTGCAAGTTTAAGGGGATGGTTTGCTTCCCCTTCGCCTGCCTCCACCTCATCCTTATTAATTTAGAAAAACATTTTTTGCTATGCAAGTACTGTTTGGTATGAATATAAGCAGTTCTGTATTACAGTAAAGGGAAGAATCTCATTTTTACAGGACAGAAAGTTGGCACTAAATGAAAATGGTGGTTTTCATATTGTTTTAAAGTTAATTCATTCTAATTTGATTGTTTTGTTCCTTGTCCAACGCAAATCCACTGCCGTCCAGTCGATTCCGACTCATAGCGACCCTGTAGGACAGAGTAGAACGGCTCCATAGGATTTCCAAGGCTGTAAATCTTTACGGAAGCAGACTGCCACTTCTTTTCTACCGCGTTGTTGCAGCAACTAATATATATATTGAGTGCTTATAATGTAAAGTTTACAACTCGTAAATTCATTTTTAGCCCACTTGTTTGTAATTAGAATGCTTTTTATCTTAGCAAGAAATAATTTAGAGGAAAGGGAGACGTTCATTTAATTTCAACTTCCTATCACTTGAAAGCTGACTCTTGAAATAGTATTTATTGAGTCATAATGGAGTCATGAGATTTTTTAAGGGCCGGAAGGGACTATTCAGATCATCCAGTCCTATTCTCTCATTTTATGGAGAAGGAAACTGAGGACTGAAAAAGATAAGATAACCAGTTAGTGACCATACTATGTCTGCTGACTTTTAGGAAAGTAGTTTGTCTGTAGTAGAGAACCTGGAGGAAAAAATGGGACATTTTATAGCGAATTACATTTTTATAGCTGATATTCCCATCATACCCAAAGAAGATGGGTACCTTAGTCAAATAGTGTGCAAGAACCACTCGGGTGGTTTCATCCCGAGGTTATAAGAGATGAATCTAATGCTCGGGAGGTTAGATAACTTTAACGACGTAGAACCCTGAATAATAGTCTTACTCGAGCCTATCTGCTTTTAGTCTGTGCACTACATAGCGTTTTAACTTCCATTTTCTTTTTTGACATTCACAATAAATAGGACCCTACCTAATCTGAGGAACCACCAAAGTAAATCTTTGAACATGTAGCCAGTTTGATTTCAATGTGCCAGGTATTGTAATACAACTGAAGAGTTCAAATACTAAACTTACTGGATTTAAAAATGTGTCATGTGGCATGGAAATGATTGCTCTTACCTTCTCTTGTCTGGTTCTGCCACTGCCACTGCCCCAGCCCTCCTTCATGAAGATCATCTCTTATCTATTACACTAAATGGTAAGCTCCAAAGACAATATATATGTCTGTTCTTTGTGTGTCCCAAATCACTGACATTGTACCTCGCACATAGACACTCAGTACCAATTTTTTAAAAAAGTACTGTGAGGGTAGAGACATGATCTGTTTAATTCTCTGCTGTATTCTCAGTTCTTAGTACCTAGCCGGGCATACATAGTGTTTAGTATTTGAATTTAGGGATTAATGGTAATGAGCATTCAAAGAGAAGATATTTCAAAAGAATGTTGTAATCTTTCAAAGAGAGACATTTTCATCTTGGTTTTGGGATCTGTTTTGCTTTACAAATTGATTTCCATTTTATCCTCAAAAAAATTCTTTACAATAGAGATTCGACTATTTTCTCTTAGCTACATGAAGAAAAATCCCAAAGATGACAACTTACCAAGTAGTTGCCATCGAGTCCATTCTGGCTTGTGGCCACCCCATGTGGGTCTAGTGAGCTATAATAAAGAATTGTGATAAAATTTGATCCATGTATGTAAGGGTCTTAATCAAGTGTGTCTTTCTAATTCAAGATTGGTGGAAGGCCTCTGCAGAGGTTGATAACATGGTAACTACTTATACATGTTATTTTAAATGTAAAATCTAAGTTTTGGATGGAAAGCTCATGTTCAGTTTTCATTGTCTTTTGTTATAGATACTTGATAAACAGTTGTTGAGGGGATGAACTTAATCAGTGAAATTGGATCTGATACAAAGAGAATTTGGTTAATTTTACAAAGGTGTAGTTTTGTGGTTTCAAAAAGTGTAATTTAAACATGAGTTTTATAATTGAATCTCAAGGAAATCTTACTGATTTGCATGTGTTGTTTTCCTAAAGACAGTTAAAGTGTGTTTCTGTGCATATCTGTATTGATAAAGAGGGTTGGTATTGATCTGTGGTGTCTAAATTTGACTGGCCTAGTTTAGTAATAGTTCAGTATTTATGAACTAAGTATTCAAAAGCTATTTTTTTCCTTTGATGACAGTGATGTCACAAGTTTGCTGTATAGAAAAACTTGATAAAGAGAGATCTTAAACTTTCTAAGACCATGTAAGTTTGTCGTTTTTGAGGACTCCATGGTCTTAAGAGGTTAGGCTGAAAAGTTTTTACTGTTAGCCTTCTCAGGTTGAGACATTTTGGCTGATGGAATGATTCATTGTAACATTGGACAACTTTTCTGTCCAACCATCTATAAACAGGAGTGCTTTACCGTAGTTTACCCTTGTACTGACAACCTAATGTTTTTCAGTTTTCTTAAATATTTTGCCATGGTATATATTGAAAGGCATTAATTATCATTTAAAGACTAAAGTCTTTTAATAGTTCTTTGTAAATCTCATTAACACTGTGAAGCAGTAGCTACAAAAAGTAGAATGAATTTAATCCTAGAATTTTTAAAATTCACCACCAACAAAAAGAAGTATCACTTGCTCTCCATACTTCCTAACACTCGTTTATTTATTCCTGTTGTTGGTCAAATAAGGGTACGAGTGATCTTTATTTCACTAGCAATTTGAAAATAATTTTTGCCTTGCGTCATTAGAAGATCAAAAAATTTTAAACTGTTTCCAGAAAGGAGCCCCAAAAACCAAAGGAATGAACATTTAGAGGAAATGTACCAGGTTTTTAAATAACATTTAAATTACCCAAAAGTAACATGTAACATGAATTGCAGAATTTCCACCTGGTTTTTATTATACATAAGGACAACATTCTAGAGTATCACTATGCTTAAAATTATTTGATTATGTATGAGGTGTTTGAATACTAGAAATATGTATATTTCAGTAGCGATTTGGATATATATGTATACACACACAATTCAGCCTTTTAAATTTAAACGGGATTCTGATTTCATGAGATAACTTGATCTTTTCAAGTGGTGGGGGATTGAATGGTTTTAACTATTGTATGGGTAGACCGAATAAAGTTGTTAAAAGAGGAGATCATGCTTTAAAAGCAGTTAGAAATAATTGTGATAACTTTAAATTATTGACTCCTGGAACCACTATTTTTACTGTATCGTAGAGCTTCTGGATGTATTTTTCAGTAATTGCTTTGAAATTTTATTTCAGTAAATATGCACTTTTCATAAAATAGATTTTTCTCCTATATTTAAAACATCCAGCATTTCATTAAGTAACTTTTTTTTTTTTTTTAAATATACGGTGAACTTTGTTGGATTACCTCTAACCTGTTGATCCCTGTGGCACAGCAGTTAAGCACTTGTCTGTTAACTGAAAGGTCAGCAATTTGAACCCACCAGCCGTTCTACAGGGGAGAGATGTGGCAGTGTGTTCCCATAAAGGTTGCAGCCTTGGAAACCCTATGGGACGGTTCTACTCTGTCCTATAGGGTCCTGTGAGTCGGAATTGATGGCACCGGGTTTTTTGGTTTGGCCTTCCTCCTCTTTGCCTTGTGGAAGGAAAACCAGATGAAAGTAAACTATCTGTTTTGTTCATTTGATAGCAGTTTTTGGCAAAAGCTTCTGTAGAGGAATGGAAAATGTTAGGTAAAGTAAAATGCCAGTTATCTGTGTCTTCTAAAATTTGTCCTTCTCACATCAGAATTTTTTTTTTCAAAGTTACTTTATACTTAAATAATTGGGGGGACTTTCTAAGTTCTAAGTTAATGGAACTGAGGGTATCAATAAAATATATTGGTGTTATATAATTTATATTTTATAAATAGAGGCTATTTTTGTTTAATAGTTTTTAGGTGTCAAAGTAGTGTATATATTGCATCCACCTGATAGCTTTGTGTTTTTTAAGGTTGCAGTGA